CCTTCCTCATGAAGTGGGGTTGTGTTTAGGTCCTGACCCCCAGGCATGTGGAGTGAAAAGAACCTTGGGGTATGAGTCAGAGCACCTCGGCTGCAAGCCCTCTGTTTCCCCATTGGTAAAAAACAGTTTGAGTCAAAAAGGGTCTGATCTCCTTCAAGCTCTGATCTTAAAGATAAAACTGAAATTCTGACCATGCTTAAAGGTATACAACCCACTTGGCTCACCATAGCCCTGGGAGAAACAGGCCATCTAAAAGCTACCAGCCCCATCTGACAGATGGAGTGACCAACATTCACTGTTTTTCCTGGTTACCATAGAGAATTCACTGAGGAGGTTGGGTAAGAGGAGGAGTGAGACTTCCCAGAAATGATTATAAATACTAATATCAATATGTCGATATTACAATATCAATAAAAATGTTTTTAAGGATGAAGTGACTGGATGACCCCATTATATAAGAGGCCTTAGAGCGAAGGAGCCCACGCCGTAAACTTCTCCCTGCGTCCAGCATGGCTGGACTCTCTGCTCCCTGGGAAGTTGAGGCCCGTGGACCACTGGTGCTCAGGAGTTCTGAGTGAGCCCACTGGATGCCCCCTCTAAGACTGGGACCAAAATGGGAGGACCCAGGAGGGGAGCAGGGAGGCTTCCTGAGGAGGCACAAACCAGCTCCCAGAAAGGAAAAAGACAGGGGCAGCTGGGTGGTGCAGTGGATAGAGCACGGGCCCTGGAGTCAGGAGGACCTGAGTTCAAATTTGGCCTCAGACACATAACACTCACTAGCTATGTGCCTCTGGGCAAGTCATTTAACCCCAACTGCCTCATTAAAAAAAAAAAAAGGAGTCAGATTCAAAGCTTCTGTGCTGATCAGCTTTAGGAGGAGGCCCATGACTGGCTGTGACTGTTTCAGTGTAAAAAAAAAATGCCAAACCTATATTATGTAAGATCTCCTAATCTTACATAAGTATAAGCTCCTGGAGGCAGGGGCGGTGTGGTTTTAGTGTATATGTGCCTAGCACAGTGCCAGGAACACAGTAGGTGCTCAATAAATGCTCATTGATTGACTGTTTACAACTGAAACCTAAACAGTGTATAACACAGGGCTGACCACCTAAAAGTTGATGGTATTTGTTGGTTTGACTTGACTTGAACCTCATCCAAGTAAAAAGTTTTGCCCACTCTGGGCATGAAGTAACACAGACCACCCCTATTTCTAAAGTGATTCCCCAATAACCACCCTTTGGGAAAAGAGTGAAAAGATCATGATCCTAAATCATAGGATGTTAGTCAGTCAATATGCATTTATTAAAATACCTACTATGTGTCCGGCACTGTGTTAAGGGCTGGGGATCCAAAGAAAGGCAAAAGATAGCTCCTGCCCTCCAGGGGCTTCCAGTCTGGTGTTGAAGTTGAACGTCCTCTAGTCCAACTCTCTTATTTTACCGATGGGGAAACTGAGGCCCAGAGAAGGGAGACCCAGCTAGAAAGTGGCCAAGCTGAAACACAGGATCTTGCCCAAGATCCCACAGGCGCCATTTTGGAGAAGAAGAAAATGAAGACACAGCCGTTAGGTTGAAAAGCAGGGAGCCCCAAACTCAAGAGTCCCGGAGTGAGCGCCAACATCAGAAACTCAAACTGAAAGCCACAGCCAAGGGTCAAGCCTTGAGCCCTGCCCCCCCCAGCCCCCATCAACCCCCCAGTGCCTTCCCAAGGCTCTCTCCTGGGGAATCAGCCCAAAACCAGTCCTGGACATAGGAGGCCTCTCTCTGGACTGGCAAGAAGGGGAAAAGCCCAGGCCAGGTGACTGCATCAGAGCCTCCCCTCTCCCAGGGGACCAGCAAAGTCCACATGGAACTTGGGAATCTTTCCAAACCCCAACAGAATGTAACCTCCTCGAGGGCAGGACCTCTTTCCCTCTTATCCTGGCTCTACCAGGGCCTGGTACAAGGTAGTTTCTTAATTAATGTTTATAGGCCCAAACCAGACCCAGCAGAGTGGTGGTGAGCCTCAACTTTGAAAAGACTTACAGTATCAGAGAATCATTAAGATTTTGGAGCACAGAGAGAAGACAGAATTTACAGAGAGAGAAACCAAGGCCCTGAATTTGGGACTTTCCCAAACAGCTAGTAAGACTTCCAACTCACCTATGATTAGAGTTTTAGGGTGGGGAGGGACCATCAAAGAAATCTAGTCCATCTCCTTTATTTTACAGAAGAGGAAACTGAGGCACTCAGAGGGACAGTGACTTGATAAAGGCACAAAGCCAATCAGCGACCTGACAGCACTTAGCGGAAGGCAGACCACAAGACTGGTACACATTCTGTGGCCTGGCCAGGTAGTAGCCCTCAGGCTGCTGCTCCCAGCAGGCCCCAAACCTTCAGAGTCCTGGCTTCCCCAAAGAACCAAGTCAACTTCAAGCCAGTCCAAATGGAATGCCCTGGCTTCCCCAAAGAACCAAGTCAACTTTAAGCCGGTCCAAATGGAACCCCCAGAGCCGGAGGGCCATCTAGATTTACTGTGACCCAGGCAAGTGACCAAAGGCGGCTGGAAAGATTTCAAAGCACTTAATAAAACACGACTCACATTTCTACTGAGCTCAAAACTCACTGCTGACAACATTCCTAATAAGGTTAGTAGTGACAGCTCCTGCCAGTAGAGCACTTCCAGGTCTACAGCACACCGTGTGAATGCTCAAAAATCAGAACAACTAGGTGGGGCAGCAGACAGTGCCTGGAGTGAGGAAGATCTAAGTTCAAATCCAGCCTTGAACATTGGCTACCTGTGGGTCTCTGAGCAAGTCACCTAACCTCCCTTTGTTTGCCTCAGTTTCCTCATCTGCAAAATGGGGATGATAACAGCAAACTACCACATCCAATATTTTGCAAATCTTAAGGTGATATACAAATATTAGCTATTACTATTCTTATAAATGAGGAAACTGAGGCTCAGAGATGGGAAACAGCCTTCCCAAAGGGGAAGGGATAGCCAAAAGTACAAGTCTTCTGACCCCTTTGCCGTCTGCCTCAGTGCCCCTCACCCAAACACCACAGGAGAGCCAGAGGAGACAAGATGCTCAGCACTAGGGCAAGGCCACTGGCCTCCTCCTCACTCCTGGTTGGGGCTTTTCCCTCTGGATCTCAGGCCCCTATCCTTTCCAGGTCCTCCACCATTCCCCTCGGGCAAGGAGAAACCATAACCCACCTTAGGATGGTGGAGCTGGGAGAGAAGACACAGGAAGGTGCAATGGAAAGAGGTGGTGTGGGAGATGGGAGCTAGAGAGAGTGGACTGAAATCTGTGCTTGGACCCTTTGTATCTGATCCTCCATTTCTTCATCTCGGCTTCAGGTTCCTCATGTGTAAAATGCAGGGGTGGGTGTGGGTGTGGGTGTGGGTGTGTGAGTGACAAGGTGATTCTATGAAAGCCCACTGAGGCAGCTAGGTGGCAGCTACGGAAGAGAGGGCAGGGCTTGAACTCAAGAAGCCCTGAGATCACTTATTAGTCTGTGTGTCCTTGGTTGAGTCACCTTACCTCTCTGTGCCTCAGTCGCCTCACCCGTAAAATGAAGGGCTTGGACTCTATGGCCTCCAAGCTCTAAGTATCAGATCCCGTCATCCCATGAACCCAGACGAGCCAGGTGTCAGAGAGAACAGCAGCTGCCCTGGTTCCTGGGGGGATCTTTCAAAGTCACTTGTGGCAGGGAGGATGCTACTTCAACTTTCAGAGGAAGGCACCCCAATTTCTTCCATCCCACGATGGGAAGGGAGCAAACTAGAAAGGCAGAGAACCTGCCATCATGGAAAAGAGACTCAGGCAAGGACAAGCAGGCCAGTGTTGATACTACCATGTTAAATATAATATGTACCAAAAGGGAGAAGCCGTATGTAACAGAGGCAAGGTTTCAGAGACAATCTTCTGGCCTTTTTATATGGAAACGTTCATGTTGATGATTTTCTAGTTCATAATAATTTTTTAAAAGGAAAAAGGTCTGGGCTTGGAACCAGGAGCTTAGGGCCAGAATCTTAATACTACAACTAACCCACTAATAACTTTGGGTACCAAGGTCCTTTTTCTTCTCTGGGCCTCAGTTTCCTCCCTTGTGAAAAGGAAGATGGCCTCCAAGGGTCATTCCAGTGCTGTATCCTCCCTACAGCTTCCTGGCCCTAGAAAGGTTTCCAGGTCTTAGAGCTCTCTAATCGAAAGTCAGAACCTGACAGTCAGTGATTTTATGGGCCCAGAATGGAAGAGGTAGTTCGCCTAGCCTGAGCCCTGGCTCCACAGAAACCTCATTCTACAATATTCTGATCATCCTGCCTCATCATGAAACCCGCCAAGGATGGGGAAGCCACTGCCTCTTGAGACAGCTCGGTTCACTTAAAGCCAGCTCTAGGAGTTCCGAAGATACCAAAACAAAGTCTGCCTGTCACCCCTCCCCCCACCCCACCCTAATGCTCCCAGGTCTGCCTTTGGGAGCCAAGCAGGACAAAACCAATCTCTTTTCCACAGGAGAGCCTTTGCAGTGACTGAAGGGTGCTCTTCAATCTATTCCCTCCCCCAAGTCTTCTGCAAGCTAAACTCCTCTACTTTCCTTCAACGGATCGTCATACTGCAAAAAGAAAACCAGGAAGAATGAAGAAATAACGTGAACACGGGATTTACGGCTGAGAGAGACCCCAGAGAGCAAGATTCACCACCTTGTTCCACAGAAGAAGAAACTGCGGTCCAAAGGGAAGGGAGTTTACTCAAAGTCACACAGATGACCCCAATTTCATATCAGAGGGCCGGCCCATGTCCCCATCCCAGTCCACATCCAGGGAGGCGTTCCATTACACTACAATGGGGAAACTGAGGCTGGGAGGAAATAGAAGCTGGCTAGTCCACAGTCACCCAGGTGGCCAGGAATGCACTCTCTTACGAGGCGCCCTGGGGCACCCCCGCCGGGGAGGGGCTGGGGATAGGGGTTAGGGGGAGGGGGTGCAGAGAGATTGCTCGCTGGGTTCCCTACCTGCCTGTCGGCGGCCCCAGGGCACATGGGCTCGGCTCCGTGCAGCACGAAGGTCCTCCGATGAACAGATGGCCGGAAGGCTGGATGGACTGACAAACGGACAGTGGGACGCACGGCCAGATGAAATCTCGCTCCCCGGGCCTCCCCGCACGGAGTCAGCAGCGACTGCTTGGCCCGGGTGGCCCCCTCACGCTGCCGATCCCTGTCCACTTCCCGGGGCCCTCCATGGGGCGACGGCTGGCGGGCCGGAGCTGCCCCGCGTGCGGGGAGCGAGCTAGCCTGCGGAGCGCAGAGGATCGGTGCGGAGCGGATCGGAGTAGAGCGCACGGCCAAGCGAGCGCACGCTGCCTCGGGAACTGCTCCCCAGCGGTGGGCTCCGCTCCCTGCAGCCCCCTCGGCGCCTCGGCTCGGCTCTAGTCTCTGCCGAAGCTAGCAGGGTCCTATCCGCGACTCCTCTACCGAGCGCGGGCTGCGCGCAGGCAGAGACAGGCGGGCAGAGGCTGGGGCAGGCAAGAGGGCAGACGGGCGGACGGGCGGGGATGTGGGGGCAGGCGGGCGGACAGACTCTAGCTGCCGCTGCTGGCCTCGTCTGCCAATCACACCCTCCTGCCCGCCCGGGGACTCCTGGCAACCGAGAGCGGAGGGAGGGGTCAGACCCCGGGCACCTCCAGTGCGCTAGGAGGGGAGAGGGAGAGGAGGAGCGAAGGCGGGTCCGGAGAGCCAGGCTGCGCTGGGGAGGGGGAGGGGGGAGCGCCGAAGAGGGGGAGTCTCCACTCACTCCCCGCCCCCTGAACTGATCGCCCGCCCCACCTCTCCTAGGCCAAAGGGCTGGCTTGGGCTTGGGGAAGTACCCTCCCCGCACCCCTCCCCATTCTGGTCTTCTATCTGACTGCTTCGCTTTTTCGTCTAGTCCCCATTTCCTCAAGGAGGGGAGAGAAGGGAAGAGACGGGGTAAAGGAAGGAAGAGCGGGAGGAAGGGAGGAGAGGAGATGGGGAGATGCGATGGTACGTAGCGGGGAGAAGAGGAGGAGGAAGTTGACGCTGGCCAAGGGGAGGGGGAGGAGGAAGAGGAAAAGTTTTTTTGGTGAGGCTTGTTGCTTGGTATGGAGTTTTTTGGGTTTTTTGTTTTTTTTAAGATTGCCCAGGGAAAAGTGTGTCTTTTAAGCCCACCCCAACCCCGACTTTGCTAGCTCTGGAGTCTGCCCAAGTCACCAGACTGAATCACTCAGGAGACCAAGAGGCAGAAGGGAAACTTCTCTCAACACCAGGAGGGTCCGTTCCCCGCCCCCACAGCCATCCCATGCAGAAACGTCTTTGGCCCAAATGGACTCTCCCGGGAAAAGGCAGGCCTCAGTCCAGCCCAGCTCCGTCCTCCAACTTCTTTTCTGGAAAGCCAGTTCGAATCCCCACCAGCTGGACTCAGAAGAGAATCCGGGGTCTGGCCCCAGCTCCAAGCCCTCTTCCCACACCCACCACCAATCCTAGGCAGTGAGACCTTGAGGAAGTCACTCCCCAGCTGACCAAAAGAACAATGTGTGGGGAGGGGAGGACCCAATTATAAGAACTAAGAACTATCCAGAAAAGAAAGTTTCTTAAACGTGATGGAGGGAGAGAGGTATATTTGGCCTCACTTTCCTTAGCTATAAAATGGGGAGGGAGGGAGGGAGAAAGCATTTATTAAGCACCTACTAAGTGCCAGACAGCCCTGGATCACTGAGTTACAGATGTTACCAGATTTGATTGAAATGGGGATTTGCCCTAGTGGAAAGACCTGGTGACTATGGATCCAGAAGACCCAGGTTCAAATCTCAGCTCTCTTTGTTAACTACTTGCCACTAGACAAGCCACTCTCCTTCCCTCGGCCTCAGTTTCTCCTGTAGGAGAAAGGAGCTGAACTAGGCGATCTTGAAAGGCCCTTCCAGCCAGAAACCTATCACTGTCCTCCACAGTGTTGGTGGGAAAAGTCCTAGCGCAGGGGTGAGAAGCCTGACCCTTGAGGCCATACGTCGCCTTCTAGGTCTCCAGGTGTGGCTTTTTGACTGAGTCCAGGTTTTACAGAACAAATCCTTTTATGAAGGGGACTTGTTCTGTGAAGTTTGGATTCAGTCAGAGGGCCGCACTGAAGGACCTAGAGGGCCACGTGTGGCCTTGAGGCCAGAGGTTCCCCACCCCAGTCCTAGACAATACAACTTTCTCTCTCTTGAAACTAGTTTGTATTATTTTTTAAGATACTTCGAGGTTATTTATCTGTGTCTCTTATTTCCTCCCAAGAGGAGAGCAGGGACTTTGTATCTTTGGCATTTAGCACCGTTGCTGGCACATAACAAACACTTTATAAAAGTTCATTGAATAGAAAAGGGAACAGTTCATTTCTTAGAGCAACAAAGAATTGGAAACAAAGTCAGTGGCCATTGATTGGGAAATAGCTACGGAAACTGTGGTCTGTGAACGTGATGGATTCCTGTGCTGGATGACCAGGATGAATTCAGAGAAATATAGGAAGTCCTATATGAGCTGATAAGATTGAAGTAGGTACAAGCAGAAAACCAATACACTCCCGCCCTGGGAAGGAAAAAACTGAAAAGGCAATGCTGTGTGTTTCTGATGCTCAAGCTTGTCAGAAAGGAAGCCATATGAGAAACATCTCACACACTCACACACACACACACAACACACACACACACACACACACACACACACACACACACACGCGTGCCTCTTTGCCGAGGTAAGAGATCGGGAGGCTGGAAAGCTGCACATAATGTTGGATGCGGTGGGTGTGTTGACTAGTTTTGCTGACTTTTTTTCTTTTTATACTTTGTCATTAAGGATGGCTCAGAGGAAGGGAAAGTACATTGCAGGAGATGGGGATATAGGTGAAAACAAAAGATCATTTTTTTTTAATTTCAAAGAATGAAATCAGAGCTCTTCTTCCACTCATTTCCCTGGGCATACAGGAAATCCCTGAACCCCAGAGGAAGAAGAGGGCCAATGACAAGAAGAAGACATTCCTTCCATTCCGGAGATGGCGGTGGGGGGCAGCTGGCCCCACCCCCTCTGGCCAAGCACAGTCAGCCAAGGGCCAACAGGAACCTCCCTGGAGGAGAGGGCTGCACTCAGGGTCAGCGAACTTCCTCCATCCGTCTGCCTGCCCCAATCCAGACTGGGGTCAAAAATACACACGGAGCCCAGTTTATCATGCAGTCTGCAATCCTTTTTCCCCTTTAGCGCACACTCAGCATATCCGAGTCCTGGATTTGAGGACAGTGGGCCTAGATTCACATCCAAATTCAGCTCCTTATTAGCTGAGTGACCCTGGGCAAGTCACCTCCCTGCCTAGACCTCGGAGAAATGTTGGGGACGGACCAGATTATCTAAAAGGCCCTTTAGCTCTAAAAGAGATGAACCAAGACCCTGAGGATTCAATCAGTAAACCTGTATTAGGTACCTACTATGCGCCAGGCCTTGGGGAAACATGGAAAAAATTTGACATCATATATACACCATCCATGCACCTTCAGGAATGTGTGTACACTTCAGGCCCCCACATGTGTGTACATACAAATGGGGTATATTTGCATATTATCATGTGTGCACGTGGCATTACACATTTGTATGCGTGTGCATGCATAGGTCATGTATGCACACATTTGTACATGCCTGCATCATGTGCACACGTTATACACACTGTATGTATTACACATTTGCATTTGTGCACATGCATGTCATGTATGCAGACAATTTGTACGTGCCTGCACCACATGCACACGTTATACACACTGTGTATTACACATTTGCACTTGTGTGTGTGCATAGGTCATGTATGCACACATTTGTACATGCCTGCACCATGTGCACACATTATGCACACTGTGTGCCTGTACACATTTGCATGCATGTGCATGCACAGATTGTGTGTGCACACATTTGTACATACCTACACACACACACACACGCCACGTGCACATGCACCACTTCATTGTTCTGCTTGTCTCTTTTTCCTGCTGTTTGATCTACAATAGAGATGGTTTGGTTTTCGATCACTGAGTCACTTCCTGTGCTTGTCCAGCCCTTCACAGGAAATAGCTTCTCCCCTCGACCTACTCCTAGCTTTGCTGTCCCTCCCCCTCCCTCTCCCAGTGTGGGCTGCTGGGGAGGCACCCTGGGCCCGGTTCTGACATACTGTCCTTTAGGAAGGACATGAACAACTCAGAGCGTGTCCACAGGAGGAAAACCAGGACAGTGAGATGCTGTGCCTCCCCAAGCTTATGCTCTTCTCAGAGGAGACTATGTCAATCTGTGAAGAGTCACCGGACACCAGAGGAGGGAGCTTATGTGAGTGATCAAAGGTCATCATTCATCATTCATTCATTCATTCATTCAATAAACATTTAGGAAGTGCCTGTTCACTGTGCACCAGGCACTATGCTAAGAGCCAGGGATACAAAAAGAGGCAAAGAGGGGCAGCTAGATGACACAGTGGATAGAGCACTGGCCCTGGATTCAGGAGGACTTGACTTCAAATCCAACCTCAGACACTTGACACTTATTAGCTGTGTGACCCTGGGCAAGTCACTTAACCCCATTGCCTAGCCAAAAAAAAAAAAAAGAGGCAAAGAAATAGTCTCTGCCCTCAAGGAGCTTACAAACTAAGCGTCGACATAATGACCTCAACTGTGCATCCTTCTCTCCAAGACCAATCCTAAATATCCAGCCGCCACACACTCTTTCTTTTCGAGTGGTGTTGCAGCTCCGCTGACCAGCAGCGAAGTCCAAGAAAGGGTTCTTGACCAAAGACTGGGAGGCAAAACAAAGAGACGGGACTCCAAGCGTGATGGAAACTTTATTAGAGCCCAGCAGGCAGTTTTATAGCAATCATTCACAAGGTCACTTCCTTAATCCACCCCGTGCTGTTCCCGTTAGACCACCAAGTACTTCTTGTTCCCAGAATGTCTCATTACTTGATATGTATAATATACATGTTTGAGCTTGAGCTAGCAACATTGTTAATGGTTGAGCTTGCACAACAGTCTTTCTTCTGGGAGTGGAGAACCGATCCAGCCCAAAGAGCAAGCTCCTCATCTGAGAGGGCCTATTCGGCCATCAGGGTCAGAGTCCTACTCACCTGTGGTCCTCTACATCTCCCCCTTTCTTTTGTTGAAGGGTAAGGTAATGCAACTCCGTAGTTAAGGGAACAATGCAAACAGCGAGAAGACAAAGAATAATCAGGAGAACGGGGTGAAAGGAAACACCACAACCAATTAAAGGGATTAAGCTCCTTCAATGAATTCCAAATCTTATTAACTGAAGCATCTACCGATTCTTGCTCTAAAGAGGAGTGACTGATTTCTTCAGTAAGTTCATCTAAAGCATGTGGATCTACGCCAATGGAAGAATTCCTGAGAACTCCAAACAAATGATCTTTTCACAAAGTTCAATTAGGGGCAGCTAGGTGGCGCAGTGGATAGAGCACCAGCCGTGGATCCAGGAGGACCTGAGTTCAAATCCAGCCTCAAACACATAACACTTACTAGCTGTGTGACCCTGGGCAAGTCACTTAACCCCACTGCCTAGCCAAAACAAAACAGAAACAAAGTTCAATTATATACAGATTCATTATAAGCTACAGGAGTAACACAAATAGGAACATATCTATAATCACATTTCATTAGCATCCTTCTTTCCAAGATCTCCAACTCATCCCCTTCCGCCAATACTACATCTTTCACACCCTCAATCAATGCTAACAGGTCCCGATTAACCTGCTGTTGTTTCTGTAAAGCTGCTGTCACATTTCTTTGCAGCTCTTGTGCAAATTTAGCTGTTTTCACTTCATTTTGTACAGAAGTAATAGAGCGAGAGAGGTGGAAAAAGCTATTATAGAAGCAAGCAATAAAACTCCTAAAACAATTCATGAAATACATCTCTTCCTTCTACCTTTAAGAGCCAGCCGCTTAAGCACTCAGTCAGATGGTCCATAATACCAACCAGATGTTTTTACAGGCAATAAGGCAAATGGTGCCTGAGTTACTATCATAACTTGTTGACCTTCCACAAGGGAAGTGTTTATACATTGAGCCAGAAGACAATTCATACAAGTGGTGTTCCACAAATGACCTGAATGTTTATTCTCTACGTGGATGGTTCCTACCAGGAAGGCATAATTCTTGGGAATGCAAGCGGCCAAGGTGTTGTTGACATGTACACGACCACTGCTATAGTCATGTACAATGGTTACACTGCCTGTGGCAACAAAGGCCTTCCAAATGTGTCTCTGAGTGCGATGTGTTGGCATGGTCCATATGGGCATCACCCACCCCCCAGGCAACTGACCATCTTCATTCCACGTGCTGATGTTGTATGAAAAGGTGTTATCTGTGCTACTGTTTGTATTACTGATAGAATGTTATTTTTCCCCACACCTCAACGTGTTGTGCTTGTGTGGTTTGGCATGCTAAGAAGGGAGGATATCTGTTCTTAAAGGACCACACAGTGATATTTGGGCATGGCGGAAGAGGTGGCACGGCACTCCAACTACGGCTGTTGGAGGACGGATTTGCTGGTGCGTTCATGGTGATAGTGAAAGTAATTATCCCCTTTACCTCAGTTTGTCCATTCACCCGCACTGTCTTTTTCTCATTCGCAAGCTTGATGCAGGGATCAGGTGTTGACTCATTGGTTGAAAAACAAATTGGTGGGCTGGTAGCTACTCCTGAAAAATTGAATTGTACAGGATGAGGATGGGACTGATTAATCAGCATCATCCCGAATATTTCACTTAAAGTTTCTGGTCCTATCACGACCACTGGAACAGAGGGATGTTCCCAAGTAACCAGTGTAAGCCATGGTGGGCGGCTCCAGTAGGCCCACCATTGTTGTTTTTCTTCATCTTTTCCTTGGGTTGGAGGCCCTAAAGTCGGCATGGTCATCAGGAACACGCAGGAACCCCTGTTGTAAACCGGTTTTTCGCTTACGGGGTCGTCGCTTCTTACGGGACGGGCGTCTGTTTGGTGGTTTCAGGTCCAGATGCATCTTGTGTAGCTGGGATATACAATCTAGTAGCCCTCTGGGGGACCCATACTGGAGGCACTTCATCTCCTGGGGAAACACAAACAGAACCTCACCCCCATGTGATAACTCTTCCAGGTCCCTCCCAGGCCCCCGGAGACAGATTTTTCCACATAACCTGAGTCCCTTGTTCCCCATAGGGTCCCTTTGTCTCTGGGCCCTGCTGGTCCCGACTTCCTGCCTCCCGAGGCCCAAAGTGACATTCTGCTGGTGTCAGCCCATGACTATTACACGTGAGAAAATTTTAAGTATACGCAACTAAGTTTAACCTGTTGGATGGTGCACACCTGTCTCCCCCTTTCTTTTGCACCTTGATGTCCCTATGCTTCCTTTCGACTACAGCCTGGCCTGTGGGACTGTAGGGGATGCCAGTCATGTGATTAATATGATATTCCATACAGAAGCTGGAAAAAGATTTTGAGGCATAAGTTAGACCGTTATCCGTTTTTAACTGAAATGGCACCCCAAGCACCACAAAACAGCGTAGCAAATGAGCGATGACATGACCGGCGATCTCCCCAGTGAGCGCAGTGGCAGCAGTGAAGGAGGAGAATGTATCCACGGAGACATGTACACAATGTTGTCTCCCAAAGGAGGGAATATGAGTGACATCCATTTGCCAAATCTGATTAGGGCCATCACTCCGTGGGTTATGGGAGATGACTCAAGGAGGTGGTATAAAAGGGATACAGCATGGACAACTTTTGACTATCTGCCTCGCCTCTTCATGCGTCATCTGGAATTGTCTACGTAAACTTTTCGCAGATTGATGGAATTTTTCATGAGATGGATGCACTTCCCAGGCTGATAGTGTTCACACCTGGTCAGCTAAGTGATTCCCGTCTGCAATAGGCCCAGGGAGATTGGTATGGGAATTCACGTGAAGAACATACGAGGGATGGCACCTCTGTCTAATAATATTTTGTGTAAAGTGAAACAATTGGGTGATCTCGTTATTTTGATCCCTAATGATAGCAGTCTCAATTCTTTCAAGGACCCCCATAGCATACAGGCTGTCTGTGACAAGATTAACAGGTTCTTGGTATTTCTGAGCAGCAAGGACTAGAGCATAAAGCTCATTTCATTGAGTGAAAGTAAATGGGGTGTTAAGAAGAAACATTTGACCACGCTCAGGACACACAATGGAAGCTTTACGGTTCTTGGTGGCATCAGTAAATACTGCAATGGCCCCCAAAAGAGGAGATTGAGAAATGGGATTGAGACATCCATTGCCATTTGACTAGGAATCGTGATATCGGTAAATATCCTCCAGAAGAAAAGATAATGGGATATATAAGGAGCAATTGCCACTCAATACTGTGAACAAACAAGGTGTCTAATTGATCATGCGTGTAGGGGACATGTATGGTTTGCGGGTAGCAACCTGCAAGAAAAACACTGCAGGTGATAGTCTTTTTCAATAACATCGCAGCGGCTACTGGGTAAGGACATAAAAATTGTTTGGGCTGTGCAGGGGGAAATGCCCATTCAAGTATTGTAGGTCCCTGGTGAATTAATGCCGAGGGATACACCGGAGTAGGAAGGAGGGTTATTTCTAAAGGAATTTGAGGTATATACTGGCCTGTAGCGGCCTGATTAATCGCAGTTTCAATTCTTTGTAATTGTTCTTCTGCTTGAGGGGTAAGTGTTCGAGATGACAAAAGATCGGTCGGTCCTTTAAGAATATCAAATAAAGGGGTAAGATCTGAGGTGGGTATTCCAATATGAGGACGAAGCCACTGGATGTCCCCAATCAACTTTTGAAAATCATTCAGTGTATGTAAGTGGTCTCTCCTAATCTTTACTTTTGTAATGTGACTTGATTATCTTTTAAAGTATAACCAAGGTATTGATACAGTTCTCCCTTCTACACTCTGTCATTAGCTATTTCTAAACCCATGGAAGCAAGAACATGAACAGTCCACTCCAAAGAGGCATCCAACTCCTCGACCTCCGGGGAGGCTCCAAGAATGTTATCTATATGATGTATTATACATTTGTGGAAATCGTGATCTTATACGTTGAAGAGCTCAATCTACATAAATTTGACCCTGGGGAAGAACAGTCCATTGATATCTTTGATACGGTCCTTGCAAATTAACTGTAGGAACAGAGAAGGCAAAGTGCCGGGAGTCTTCACTGGTTATAGGAATAGAATAAAAACAATCTTTTATATCTATGATCCACATTTTCCAATCTGTGGGGATCATATTAGGGGATGGTGGACCAGGTTGGAGAGCACCCGTGGTATCCATTTGTGCATTCACTTGCCTTAAATCAGTAAGCATTCTCCATTTTCCTGATTTCTTTTTAATTACAAATACCGGGGAATTCCATGGGCTTACTGATTCTTTAATATGTCCTTTACTCAGCTGTTCCTGTATTATTTCTCTAAGAGCCTCAATCTTTTCTTTTGTTAAGGGCCACTGCTCTGCCCATATGGGGTTGTCATTTTTCCACTGGATAGGTATTGCGGCTATGGGTTGAGGCTGAAATGCAGCAGCCCCCATCATAAATCCTGAGTCATAAGAGTGACTCCCATTTGTGTTAAGAGATCCCATCCCCACAAATCGGTAGGCAAAGTGGGTAAGACATAAGGTAGTATCTTGCCCTGCTTCCCCTCATGTTCCCACACCAAGGGTCTGGCACTAATTTCAGGACTGGGCACAGTTCCTACACCCACCATGTCTACAGAGGTGTTTCTCAAGGGCCAGTCAGGCGGCCAATATGTTTTGCTGATTACTGTTTTATCTGCCCCTGTGTCTATTAGTCCTGTAAAAGAGAGGCCTTGAAGGCGAAGCGTCAATAAAGGACGAGAAGTGTTGACCACTTGTGTCCAAAACACACTGTGCCCTTGCCTGTCTTCCTGTCGCTGTTCTTTTTGTTCTATTTCTTTTTCAACCCCAGTGCACTGTAGCTTCCCAGTCTCATTATGCATGAGGAAACCCATCGCCACAGGGTTTCCCATGGTGATGGTTAAATCCCTATCTCTAGAGTTGATAACAGTCTCGCTGTGGAGAACCCTCTGCCACACTTGAGGGAATACGGAAAAATCCCTATATGCGGCTTCCGGAGGGGGCAATAAAATTCCCACAGTATTCAGGGCCGAGGGGGTGTTGGTTGTGCTGAAACAATAACGTGATCATGAGCAGATACCTGGACGTCATGCTCAGCATCTGTAGGGACTGTTACCACATGAATGGAGGATCGGGAGTCCCGTTGGCTTGTGCCTGTTGTACATACTGTTGTTGTAGACTTGGTGGTGTCCTCACGGCAGCTGTCATACCCCGTTGTTGTTGATGGGGCCCCCAGACCCGTTTCCCGACCTGCAGTAGGAGGCCCAATGATATCCCTTCCTACACTTAGGACACAGAGTTTGGGGTCTGACCCGCAGTCGTTTAACCGGTTCCTCTCTACCTTACCTTTTTTGTTTACACTAAGCTTGAAGGTGTCCTGGCTTTTCACAGTTGTAACACTTGCGATCCTCCCTAAACTTCCCTTTTTGGGTGCCTGTCTGAACATTCATGGCCCCGAACTTTTCTCCTAACAGGTCAACATAGAACATTCGTGAGCCCACTGTAGCACATTTTTGTACCATTTCTTCTGTGGATAAGTCCTTCTTACTCCCTGATAGGGCTTTCTTACAGTCTGCATTACCATTTTCCCTAGCTAATTGTCTAATAATAATTTCAGCAGCGGTGACTTCCCCGATTTGAGTGAGGAAGTCTGTGAACCTTTCCTGGGGCCCTTGTGTCACTTTCACAAAAGATTGTCCCTTATCTCCCTTTGGTGGGATGGCAGCCCAAGCCTTGCTGGCACACATGGCCACTTGTCGATAGGAGGCTATATCATAATGCAGTTGTCGTCCAACCTGCTGATAGGCCCCTGTACCCGACAGTTGCTCATATGTGATATTTATCTGCTGGATCTCGTTACAGGCGGCTTGCTGCCGGCATCTAGGTATTCGGAGCACCAAAGCATAGAATCTCCAGGCTCCAGGCAAGTACGGCAACCTGCCTCCAGTCATAGGGAGGAAGGATGGAAAAGGCAATTTGATCTAAAAGTGTCCTGACACACATGAAAGCAGGCCCATAGTTACTGGAGGCCTTTTTTACTTCCCTTAACAGCCTGATACCAAGGGATTCATAATCCTGTACATGCTGTCCTGGGTTCTGAGGATCATCCCTCTCCAGCACGCAGAATGCCTGTGGTCCGAGATCACTACAATCTTCCCCTTTTTGTCTGGCCTGACTGATGGCTTTCTCAAAGGGTGACTTGATTCAGGTGCTCAGTGTTCAAGGAATTCATGTTATGACAGGAGGGGCTGTGTGAGAGTGTCGGAGCAGAGGGAAAAACCGGATTTTCAGCCTCAGCGGCGAGGCACTCCTCACCCTTTCCACCCTTTCCCTGGTCTTCCTTCCTTTTCCATCTGAGTACCTGCATCAAATTTTCTCACTTCCCGAAGCTGCTCGGGCCCCACCATGCATAATTTTAAAACATTGTATAGCTGAAAACAATGGACTGGAAAGTCCTCAGGCCCCACTCGAGAGTAATATTCTGTCAGATGCTCTCCTACCACCTTCCACTTTTCAGGATTCAAAGTCTCTTCCTGGGGTAGCCAAGGCGAAGTGATTTCTATTACGTTTAAGAATTCCTTAATCTGACGATGTGATACTGTAAGTCCCCTCTCTCTCATGATTTTTCGAAGGACCTTCTCATACGTCTCTGGCAGGGAGATTTTACTTGTAACTGCCCCATTTTGTGCTTTTCTGTGCTCGGGAGGAAAGTGAAAGTAACCGAAAGCGGGCTTGTCTGAGCCTTCCCCTTACCGTGTCCTAGGTTCCAGCGTTAGCAGTGTCTCAGGGGGATCTCTGGCCGAAATCAGGAAAGGCTCGCGACACCTATCTGACCTGTTCCTCGGCCCCACATTGGGCACCAGGTGTTACAGCTCCGCTGACCAGCAGCGAAGTCCGAGAAAGGGTTCTTGACCAAAGACTAGGAGGCAAAACAAAGAGACGGGACTCCAAGCGTGATGGAAAACTGAGTCAGCTTTATTAGAGCACAGCAGGCAGTTTTATAGCAATCATTCACAAGGTCACTTCCTTAATCCACCCCGTGTTGTTCCCGTTAGACCACCATGTACTTCTTGTTCCCAGAACGTCTCATTACTTGATACGTGAGCTTGAGCTAGCAACATTGTTTATGGTTGGGCTTGCACAATCATCTTTCTTCTGGGAGTAGAGAACTGATCCTGCCCAAAAAGCAAGCTCCTCATCTGAGAGGGCTTATTCAGCCTTCAGGGTCAGAGTCCTACTCACCTGTGGTCCTCTACAGAGTGGTTCCCTCACCCTCCAGCTTTGAGATCCTTCTGGAGTCCCCGGACATCTCTGAGCCTGGGATCCTCTCCAAGCACCTTTGGGCAGGGCCTTAAGGTAGATGGGTCTGAATTAACCCCGCATTTATCCAATGTTTGCTTTGTGCAAGATGTTGTTTTGAAGCAAGATGAAGAGAGAAGAGGGCTTTGCTCCTGCCCTCAGGGACCAATCAGGCAGACAGGAGACCTTCAAGGGTGCCAGGGCACACATATCAATGATGGGATGCTTGGGTGCTTGTGCTTTGTACCCGGACCCCCAATTCCTCCCTAGTCTCAGAAACACTGTCTCTGACAATCACTCCCCAGCCCAAGGACACTGTGCCTAGTAATCTAATCAGGACAGAGAGAGGGCTGCCTTGGCCAGCCCAAGGACTCTTCATCCTGCCAGATTCCCAAGATCCATGCCTCTGTCATCTCCCTCCCTGTCTGGTATACTGCCTATACTTTCCCTCCATAGTTCCCAAAGACACCTGGACCTTTAGATTACCTAATCAGTATCCCTAGCGTTCCTTTCCCATGTCCTTTTTCATATAAACCCTAGGTCCGTCCTCAGTCTCTCTAACAGGTTCCTTAAGAATCCTTGCCTGCTGAAAAGCGTAACAATAAACTTTTTGCTAACTTGACTTAAAGAATGCTTGAGTCTGTGAATTCATTCCAGACAACCTCGTCCTGTACTCCAGTCGTTGAGGGGTCTCAACCTCTCAGACCACAACATCACTAAATTCAGTCTAAGGCAAATAGGATAAAATGCTAGAGGAGAAGGGCAGAGCTGTGGTGGTCCAGAGAAGGGACAGCTTCATGGCAGGGAAGGAGGATTAGAATCTAAGGTCTCCCTGAAGAGGCAGCATTTGAAGGCATCGAGGCCTTCAGAAATGGGAAGGATACAACCACAGGACCCATGAGTAGCAGCCAGACTAGGGGCTTTGGTGTCAGAAGAACTGAGTTCAAAGCCAAGCTCTGGGCAAATCATTGCACATTTCTGAGCCTCAGTTTCCCACTCTGTAAAACAGGGACTAGATCAAAGGTTCTTAACATGACACCCAGAAACGTGTTTTTAAAAGTATTTTGGTAACTATCTCACTCTAATTTGTTTCCTCTCTAATCCTATGGATTTTATTCTATGTATGTAAAAACAATTCTGAGAATGGATTCGTAGGCTTTCCCAGACTGCCCAAAGGGTTCACGGCACAGAAATCTTAAGAAGCCCCAGACTTAGAGAGCCTCTAGTCTCTAAATTCATTCTCATGCCAAAGGCCGGTGAGGTCTCATCAGCACAAAGGAAAAAAGCAGCATGCTTGGCACTGGAGATGCTTCTTTCAAGAGCCAGCTAAAATCTCATCCTCTCTGAGGAGCTTTTCTTGATCCCCCTGAATGCCTTCTCCCCGTTGATTAACTTCAGTTTATCCTGTCTATAGCAGTTTGCTGGTGTCTCCACTATTAGACTGTGAGCTGCAGGGCAGGGATTGTCTTTTGCCTTTTTTTTGTATACCCAGCACTTAACACAGAGCCTGGCACATAGCAGGTGCCTAATAAATGCTTACTGTGTTGGCTGACAAAGGTGTTTTTGAGATGAGACCCAGAGAGGTGAACCACCTTGTCCGAGACTATATGGTAAAAGACAGCCTAGAACTGGTACAGAAATCAGAAGCCCTGGGCTCTTCGAATGTGGCTGCTTAGGGTCTATGTGATTTCTGGCAAGTTGCTTCCTCTGTCTGGACCTCAGTTTCCTCCTTTGTGACTATGAATCTGTGAGGTTCCTTCCAGCTCCAATAATTCAATGATTCTGAGAGTAAAAGGACCACACAGCCTCAGGCTCTGTCACATCTGGCAGGAGGCAGATGAGTTCTCCATTCAGAATCCACAGTGGAGGCTTTTTAAAACCCCTGCCATCAAATCCTAGAATCCCAAAGCTGGAAAGGTCCTTAAAGGATTCCCCCCTCTAGCAGAAATCCCCTATACAGCACAGCATGGAGCTAGGAAGACTGGAGTTCAGATGCAATCTCAAACACTTCCTACCTGTGTGACTTAACCCTGTTTGCCTCAGTTTCCTCATCTGTAAAATGAACTGGAGAAGGAAATGGCCCACCACTCTAGTATCTTTGCCAAGAAAAATCCAACTGGAGTCACCAAGAGTTGGAACAACAACAATGTTACTGAGTCTCATCATAGGATCACAGCTTTAGAGTTGGGAAAGCCCACAGGGGCCACCAGCTTCAAGCCCCTCCTCCTTTTATAGAGCAGTAACCTGAGGCTGAAGACTTGCCCAGCAGTCACGCAGCTAGTCAAATTCAGATCTTCCAGACCCCACACCCAGACTTCTAGTCACTGCGCCCCCTCGTGGCCTCTTCGGGAGGATTCTCAGCAACAAGGAGCTTTCTACTCAGGAGAGATTTTTAAACAGCTCTGTCAGGGGCAGCCTGTCCCAGACTGAGCTCAAATCAATCAACAAACGTTTACCAATCGCCTGCCACGTGCCAGCAGGCATTGTGTTAGGCACCGAGGATACAAAAGCAGAAATTAAAGTTCTGGTTATCAAACAGTTTACATTCTATAGGGAGAGACAACACATACTACATATGCAAGTGTAAGTGAGAATAAAATAATTAAAACATACAAGAATGAAATAAACAAAAACAATTTATTTTGTTAAGATAATAAAATAAATGAAGGGAATCTGGTTCTCTGAATCTTTCTACTATTGCTTTTTGCTGTGCCCACTGAAACCATGCTTCCAATTTTTGAAGACAAATATCTTGCTCCAAGGCTTCTCTTCTCTTCATCTTCAGCTCAGGCTAAATATCCCTGAGTCTTTGCTCTGAAATCTCCCAGGACCGAAGCAGAATTGATCATTCATTCTCCCTAGAGAAGAGATTCGAGCATCTGCAAGCATCATTTGAAAGAGTCAGGGATGGGGGCAGGTAGATGGCACGGTGGACAGATCACTGGCCCTGGAATCAGGAGAATCTGAGTTCAAATCTGACCTCAGATACTTGACAGTTACTAGCTGTGTGACCCTGAGCAAGCCACTTAACCCCGACTGCCTCACTAAAATTAATTAATTAAAAAAAAAGAGAAAGAAAGAAAAGAAAGAGTTGGGGATGGTTAGCCTGTAGAAGGGAAGATCTGGCTGGACCACCAGGTAGTTGAGAGGCTTGGGCAGCTTAGTCCCAGAGGCTAGAACCAGAAGCCATGGGTGAGAGTCTTCTTATAAGAAGACAGATTTTGCTCCGTCAGGAGGAAAAAAATCCTAAGACGTATCTAAAAGCAGAATAAGCTTAAGCTACGTCTGGGGGTCTGAGTTCCCTTTGGACATCATAGGATAACCACAAGTCTAGAAGTTGTGACAAGGATTCATGGACAGCTAGGAATTGGATGGGACAGCCTCTGAGGCCCCTTTCAACCCTGCTATTCCAGGGGGACTGAAAAGAATCAGAAACAGTCCCTTCTTTCACTGCCCTGCCTCCCCCACCCCCCACATCTCAGTAAGCCTTCCCCTCTCACTTCACACACGGCTGACATTTCCTACACTAGACCCTGTGAATGCCTCCTGCAGCTACCCTCTCGCTCACCTCACAGGTAGGGCAGCCAAATCCATAAGGCCCTCCCCCCCAGCTCACTGCACAGAATCCCACAGGCTGTGAAATGGGAAACCAGACCTGGAGAGGGAGGGCTGGGGCTAAGAATTAAGAGAGAGACAGAGAATCCTGTAAGACCCGGGCTGGACACACAGAAAGGGGAAATGGGGGGTTTGGGGCTCGTGGACTCTGTGGCTTATGGAGAATCGTTTTTGAGATCCTATTTCTATCAGTGCCCCTCCTGGAGGCAGTATAATAATTTTTTTAAAAAACCTCATGTTTGTGGCTCTATGGTTTACAAAGCACTTTTCTCAAATCACCCTGAGAGATAAGGTTCAAGTACATACTATTATTAGCTCCTTTTTCTAGAGGAGGAAACTGAGTCCCTGAGAAGTTAAGTGATTGGCCCAAGGTCACAAATATCTGAGGCAGGATTCAAACTTGGATCTCTGGGCTACGCATCTAGTCCCTATGCCAGGCTGTCAGAGAGTGGACAGAACAAGGTTGGGTGCCCATCCATCAGGAGTATCATGGAGTATTATTGGGCAGGAAGAAATGGAGAAATCACAGGAAGAAGTGAGAAATCACTAGGAGGATTCACAGAAACGTGGGAAAAGCTCAATGAACTGATGCAGAGCAAAGGCAGGAGAACCAGGAGAGCAGCAAAGGAAAGATACAACCACTGAAGGGATGCCTCAAACCCATCACTATCTGCAAGAACAGACAATGATGAATCATCTCCCTCCTCAGAGCAGAGAGGTGAGGGCTGGGAGCCTTACAGTGGATGAACTGTGCAGACGCCCTCAATGGCTCCATCAATGATTTTGGCTAGGTTGTTCTTCTGTTACCAGGGAGGGTCCAGTTCCTGGGAATAAAGGGATAATTATGTGGGGTGGGAGAGGGGGACAGGAAAGTAACGTCTAGAAATGACAGCGATGTAAAAGCAAAAGGGGCTAATAAAACCTAGATTTGGGGGAAATTTTAGACTGGAGGATTAGAAAAATTAGACCGAGGACAGGACCCTCCAGTCCTCAGAAGGTCCTTTGTTCTCTCCCTCTCCCATCCCTTGGGGCAGGGGGAGGTGCTTTCCCTCTCCTCTCCTTCTCT